TTGTGATCTTGGTGTGGAGACTGGTGGAATGCGGGAAGAAAGGACATTGACTCGTCGTGTTGCTTCACAACGTTGTGACGATGCCTGTCACGACGTGAACGACCACAGAACCGATACATATTCATCGGGGCGACAGAAAGATGAGTTTGCGAAGCGACCAATTCTCGAATCCCGTCCAACCAAATTTCCTCTTCGAAACGGCATCCTTGAAGCCGATTTTTTCTTCATGTTTCTGGTCTCCTGTCTCAGCCATTGCGGTCTGCTCGGAGTTTTTCGACTCTAAGATTTTGCAGCTCAGACAGTCTATTTTCATGTTATAAGTAGGAATATCTTATATAGAGGCTGCATTCACCCTATTTCGTTTGAGCTGATCAAAAACTGGCAGTTTGGTTTTGCAACAATGACATGGGTAGACTTTATGCTTCGGTTTAATTTCACATGGTCTTCCTTCCTAAAGTGTGTTCTCATTCAGGCCGCCTTATCATATCGCATCAACACCTCAAGTTTAGAATCGAACTCGGGTTCTGCTAGTGACGCACGTTAATCTCTATTCCACACCAAATACGAACTCCTGTTTCAAGGCAGGTTAGGCTGTTCACATTTCCCTTTCTGTGGTGGGATTTTCGATGAAACAAATGGGTATTTTTGCTATTTCAACTGACTACACTACTTATTTTGTTTAAGAGTAGTAATGCATACAGTTGAAATGGCAAGAATACAACTTTGCCTCGTTGGAAATCCCAGCGCAAAATGGTGACTTGGAAAAGACTTCCTTGGAATTCACTACTGCCCTATGACCCAAGGACACTCGGGACAGTACCGAGTCGTCATTGTACGCTGTACCACCGCAACACGAGTTCGAGTTCGGCTGGAGATTCTGATGAGACGAGGTCGAGCAAGGTTGAAACTGCAGTCCTCCCCAAGAACTCAAAACCTTGTAACAACCTGATCTCGAAGTCGTGAATGTCACCGGTATTGTGCAGCTGATGTCGATGAAAGTGGTTGCTAGTCTATTTCCTGTACATAAGACCTGATTTTTGGTGCAAAAGACCGTCTGGAAGGAGGGCATATCATCGAGTCCCGACTCACTTTTCTGTATCACTCGCGGATGTGTAAATGCCAAATGGTCCATAGAAGCTTGCATGACTGTCAGGCTGTATGCGTGTGCCCTAATGAAACCTAACGTGAGCTCCGTCAGTCTCACAATTCACGCATGAACGGTCCGAATCCAACCGGATCCCCTGTCGGCTGGGTCGCGTTTGTCTCATTATTCACGGCCACAAACAAGCGAGTAGCAACGCGAATGGGCCTACAAATGATCAGAGACTTCAGAAGTTCCACTTTCGGGTCAGATTCACGAAGAGACATGATAACTTCTGTTGCCATGCCGAGAGGAGATACAGCCTCGGCAGAGTGAATTTAGCAGAAATGAACCTTGGCGAAAGATGAAAGGAAACCGCTGAAGCTGGGCGAAATGGGGAAAGTGAGCAAATGAAGAGGGAGGAAAGAAAACTGGCCTAAAGACGCTTCTTCGACTGGTCGCCTTGACGCTCGTCTTATCTGTCTCCATGCGGAAGCGGCCAGTCGCGTCGAGGGGACAGCACTTGACAGTTCGCCAGTGCCTCGAACTGTCCGCATGTGTGCATGTGTGCTTGTGTGCTTGTCACTTTTATCGGTCTGTCTTCTACCGAACCAACCTGAACTCGACCCCGGAGCCTTCTTGGCTGGACTGGGCCGGCCGAAAGAGATAAGCTCGCA